CCAGTCTTCATACCCAAAGTAGGAGGAAGAAAGAGATAACAAATGAAAAGAAAATGCAGGTGTTTGTGTTTTTCATGACTCGTCTAAGAAACTGTCATACTATGAAAGTTGGGGACAGAAGGTGGCACTGCTGGACCTTGATGGAGACCAGTAAATGGGATCAGTAAATGCCTGTGAGCATTGTACCCTTTCCTAAGGAGAGAAACTGACAGTTTAGGGGGATGACAGTCTGAAGAGAGCTATGGTTGTGGTTACAGGGAATATCTTAGGCTAACTGTGTGAAGAGTCTGTTGACCTGTGAATAGAGGTGCCCATTCACATATGTGTATCTGTTCAATAAACTACATGAACATGCATATGCAATACTACATAACCTCAATCTAAATTTCTGCAGTTTGTGTCTGTGTGTATGCGTATGCTTGCCTGTGTGTGCAGGTATTTAGTAACTGTGAAATATGAAATACTCCCTTGGAGGGAAGGATGGATATGCACATGGAGGCCTCACATTTAATTCACCCCTTCAGCCAGGTCTACATTCATGACTAAAAGGTGAGTTGTGAATATGGCCTCAGTCTGCAGGTTGCTCTCTGACTCCGAGCAAATCATTTTATTTCTGTCTTGGGTTATTTTGTAGCACATATCCGACACCCTGTGTACACCAGCAATTCAGATTAGCCCCAGAGCTGCTTCTGATTCACCCCATTAATGCCACTCCCACCCATGATACTCTGAATGCATATTGTTTTCAACACTCCAAATCTGAATCAGTACTACTTTGTTGTCCTCTTCTCCAACACAGAATGAAATGGACAGCTGAAATAAATTTGGAAATGTGACTATGGAAGGTGAGAATGGAAGTTAAGATTTGGTGCTACTGACAGGAGAGGATCAGGGAACAAAATAGGGATACTTGCAACTCAGGAAGTCTTGCCCCTTTCCCCCAAAGCCATTTCAATGTAGATTGAACACACATAGCAAAATACTATGATTGACTGGATTTTCCTGGAAACTGAGGAGGAAAAAGTCAGTTTTAGTATATTGCATTAAAGCTTTACAAACATGTTTTCAGTATTAAAGGGATTGTAGTTCACATCTCAGGAACACAGCAGCTCCAAAGTGAGTGCAGTTTTTTGTATTCTATCCCAAGAATATGTGAGATCAGAATGACAAAGTATAATAATATGTATAGGATGAAGAGGAAAACAAAGGGACAGCATTGATATAGTGTTGTTTGTTAGTTGTAACAAAATTTCCTAGATTCCTTCCAGATGTTCCTTTTTGCAGAGTAGAAGCACCACGTCCCCATGAGTATTGCTACCTTCACAGTAATGCATGACAGTGGGGCTCTTCCAATATGGTTCTCATGAACTAGTCACAACACTGGTCATCTCCTTCCTTATTTAAATTTGTGATTTCTGAATAGTTAATTCAGAGGACAGATCACATGCAAATTGCAAGTTCTTGAAGTGCCTTTAAGATGAAAGGAGTTTCCAAAGAATAAGTAGATCCTCCCCTGCTTATCTCTTCAATCTTCTTAAGAATATATAACAGATAGTCAAACTACTAAGCAAATCATAATTATGCCGAGTGTTTCTACAAGGAGGAAGACTGTGCTAATTTTCATGCATTTCTATTCATCCATTCTATTGATCCTTAACATACTGATGGAATCCTGGACTTGGCACATGAGTCGGTTTTCATTCGACACAGTATATTTTTGGTCATACTTCAACTCATTTATACAAAGAAACAAGTTTTATAAACAGAAGCAAATAAAGATTGTGAATGCAAGCTACTTTTTTCTCTGCACAATGCCTCTCTTCTAAACAAGGGAAGGTTCTTAGGGGAAAAAGCAGAATCTTAATCCCTGCGGGGCTGGCCTGTGGAATATATACTATGTCAGTCACAGTTGGGATACCCAAAATAAAATGGTGGCCTCCTTCATTCATGAAGAAGGAAACTACTGAGTTCATTTAAAAATTGCTGTGGGAAAATTATTTGTGAACTTTGGCTTGTAAGAAAAAAAATGGTTTATATGATCTGGTACTTATAAGCTTCTTCTGCCTATTTGTAATCTCTCAAAATGAACACAGCCCCTTTTAGATTGTTCAGAGTTACTTTTTATTTTCCCATTGGAATCCAGGCCCTGTGTTGCTGCAGTTTCCCAAGCTTGTGGAGTCCACGTATTAACACCAGAAGAAAGGTCATGCCTGCAGGAATGTTTGTGCACCTGTGTTACCTATAAAATAATTAAAAATGCTCTATTAACAGAAAAAACTCCAAAAGAAGTACAACGTAATGTAAAGTTTATTAACAACAAACAGAAGTCTTTTCTAATAGCTTGTCAGCTTTGATTCATGAGTTTGCCAATTGGAAAAATATTGTGAGTGAGTTGTTCCGCAATCCTCTATGTGTCTACTCAAAAATAATTCCTAGTCCATTTAATGCAGTTGCACTTTTTGTCAGGAAGCACAACATCAGATTTCAGGCTCAGAGTGACAGGTCCTCAATGATCTGTTAAATGTGAATCATCCCTTTGATGTTCTGCTATATAACCTAGTTTGTCACTAGGATCATGTTAATGGTCTCAACAGAAGCACTGGTCTTATCAACTTACTGGTCATTGGTATAACCATGTCAGGAGATGGATAATTGGATGGATAACTGGATGTGTTAAACATCTGAGCATTATTAAAGGCATAAACTCCACTAAATTAAAAAGTGGAAATGATAGATATGTCCATTAATTAGAAGAGCCTCCAGACACAGCAGTTGGGAAAAGGAGCCACAGTGGTGCAATGGATTAAACCCTTGTGCCAGGTGAACTGCTGACCTGAAGGTTGGCCGTTTGAATCCACAAAACAGGGTGAGCTCCCATCTGTTAGCTCCAGTTTTCCATGCAGGGACATGAGAGAAGCCTCTCACGGGATGGTAAAACATCCGGGTGTCCCCTGGGCAACATCTCTGCAGGTGGCCAATTCCCTCACACCAGAAGTGACTCGCAGTTTCTTAAGCTGCTTCTGACACCATTAAAAAAAAGCATTTTGGGAAAGTAGAGTAGGAACATTCTCATGGTAATGCAACCAGAACAGACCCAGAATAATGAGGAATGATTAGTGGAAATTTGCTTTATTTGCAGATGGCAGTAGAGTGTATGCATTACTGACAACAAAGAGTCCCATGATACTTATAAAATAACAGATTTATGAGTAAAAATATAAGTGTCTTTATATCAGCTTAAAGCTATTAGTTAGGAATCTGTCTGTACCTGTGAGCCCTTTTGATTTGGTGAATGTTTACAATATAAACTAATTGTGAAACAATATATCAGTTTACATGATTATTGCATAATTACAGTGAGACTAATTTATCAAGTTTATTAATTGTTTGTGCAATAGAGAATTAGTATTCATGATTTTCTTTCTTGAGCACCAGTTTACAATCAAATGTGTTATAATGAGCAGTGCCTCTCTTTTATTTTGGGGATTTTAGGTTTCTTTTACTTTTCTTCAGGATAATATTTCCAAAGTATTAAACAATAGTCGTGTGTAATCAAATAAAAGCTTTTCATAACATTTGGCAGTTTGCTCAATATGCAGGATTATATTCTGAAGTCGTCAATGTACATTTATTCCTTCCACTCCTTGTTATTTGAAAATAAAAAGCATCTGGCAAAAGCGTTTCATTTTACACAAAGCTAATCTCATGTCCTATGCTGACTTCATTGTGGTGAACCTCTGAGCACTATTGTAGGCATATTTTTTCAAACTTCTGTCCTGTGTGGCTGGGCTGTAGACCATCTTTTAAATACCTTACAGTGGACAGTTCCCCATTTATATCTTTCCTGGATGATACATTTAGGCAATGCTGGCATAACTGAATAGTCACCAACCAAATAACTCTCTTGCCATCCTCCCATTCAAAACTATCATAGAATATTTTCCATAACATTACCCAGTAAAACAAACTAGACCATGGTGTAGCAAGCTTGTTTTAAATTTAGAAATGAAAGTAAAATGGAATTCTTAAGAGGTTTTTATGTGATGTATAAACAAAAGCAGTTGAATAGAAATATTTGAATAAGAAAAATATTAAAGGAATGTAGATTAAATAAATACAGATTTAAGTATGGTTGAGTATTCTATAACCAAAATGCTTGGGACCAGAAATGTTTTGCGTTTTGGATGGTAATTTTATAAAATATTTTTAATAATGTTGTGTATCATGTATTTCAGATTTTGAAATTCCAGATAAGGGATGCTCAATCTAGATTAAATAAATACACATTTAAATATGTCTGAGTATTCTCTAATCAAATTGCTTGGGACTAGAAATGTTTTGGATTTTGGATTTTTTTTCAGATTTGTATATATGAAAATAATAAGATATTTTGGATGCCTAAACACAGAATTCATTAAAGTTTCATAAACACCTTATGCACATAGCCTGAAGGTAATTATGTAGAATATTTTTTAATATTGTGTATTAAACAATTATTGTCTACACTGAACCATCAGAAAGCAAAGGTGTTACTATCTCAGCCATACATGCTGACAATTTCAGATTTTGAAGTTGCAGATAAGGGATGTTCAACCTGTATCCTTTGCACAAATTTGAGGTGTTGGAAATTGCTTTATTGAAATTGGAAATTTTTAAAGACATACGAGACCATTTCCTTCACTTCACTTTTAAATAACTTTATATTTTAAGAAACATTAAATTTTAGGAAAATATTTTATTTTGTGTTTGCTGAAGTGTGTTCCCTAGTTTCTAATACTGTATGTATTTGTTGATTTCTAATGAATATTATGCAACAGTGGATAGAAATAAGTAATTTTCCTTTAAAAATTCTCCATGGAAAATATGTTCTACAAAACCGACAATTGCTGCTATACTGTGAGAATATTAGCTTTCTCCTGTTGTTCTTTTGTTCATTTTGAAAAGAAGTTGCATCTGTCTAAAGATCTAACAAGAAACTGTTGTGTTATTTATTCACATAGAAAGAAGAAACAGAAACAAATTGGAAAAAACACATCCTGCCTCAGCCAACAAAACTTTTCCTCCAGTTTTCCTTCGAGGTCTAAGTGATCTCAAGGTGATGGATGGCAGCCAAGTGATTATGACAGTAGAAGTTTCAGGTATGTATTGGCATTCACTAATGAGTCACATTCAATGCTTTTCGATTTTAACAAGGCTAGTGTGCCTCGGTAACCAACTGGTTTCGCTTTTGGTTTCCTAATTAATAACGGTCCCTCTGAGGAACCCCTGGTGGCACAATGGTGCCAACAGGACTGCTGACCACCCCTGGGGAGTGGGGTGAGCTCCCATCTGTCAGCTCTAGCTTCCCATGCAGCGACATGAGACAAGCCTCCCACAGGATGGTAAAACATCCGGGCATCCCTGGCAACATCTCTGCAGATGACCAAGTCTCACACACCAGAAGTGTCTTACAGTTTCTCAAGTCACTCCTGACACAAAAAGTCAGAATCTGGACAGACTTCCACCAACAAGGAAATGTCATGGCTTCTCCCAGATATTTCCTTTTTTTAAAGATTCTTTGCTCTTAACCATCCTAAGACCTAAGTATATTAAGATATGTTTCCATGGTTGGGATTTTCATACCAGTTTGTAGTGGAACATTGTCTGCCACATATGGGATGTTTTAAGACCAATTCTGTAACCCCACCCAGAGCCACAGAGAAAGTGCCAGATAGAAGTCCACCTACATCCTTACTCCATTATGTATGGAAGTCAACAGAGTTTTAAGAAAGGTGCCAGATAGAAATCCACCTACATACAAGAATAAAAACATAATAGTAAAGGTTAAGTCCAGTCATGTCCGACTATGGGGGTTGGATATTCATCTCCATTTCTAAGTCGAACAGCCGGCGTTGTCCGTAGACACCTTCGAGGTCATATAGCCTCCATGACTGCATGGAGTTCCATTACCTTCCCGCTGGAGCAGTACCTATTGATCTATTCACATTTGTATGTTTTCGAACTGCTAGGTTGGCAGAAGCTGGGGCTAACCGCGGGAGCTCATCCCGCTCCCTGGATTTGAACTGATGACCTTTTGGTCTGCAAGTTCAGCAGCTCAGCTCTTTAATCCACTTCGCCACCAGGGGCTCCATAAAAACATAATGCATAACAATAAAACCAAAAACATAGCAAGTTGAAATCAGTTTAAGTAGTAGTAGTAGTAATTTTATTGATTAGCCCTTAGGCCATATTGCAATAAGAAACAGAACAACAAGGCCTGACAAGACCTGATCACACTCCACGTAGAAAGTTAAAATAAGACACTTATAATAATACAGTAAATACATATGACAAGACATGATAAAACTGATAAACTGATCAAGCTGAGTATATACATCATATTTCATTATCACCCCTACAATTTACCCCAATCAGAACTCCAGAATTCCATGGTGAAAGCAGGATAGAAATGAAATGTCATTATACTCTATATATTTTGTTAGAAATATTTTCAGAAAACCAGGGTAAAAGGAGAGCAGATAGGAGAAAGACAGGAGAAATGTCCACAAAGACATTGCAGTGCTTGAACAGAGGATGTGCTTTTGGTGGAGAAGCAGAATCAATCATTTGATCAGGCATATGCATAGTAAGTGACAAAAGTCAAGGGTACAGGAAACCAAGCACACATAGCATTTGTGAGCACTCAGATATTCCCTCACAGTAACCCATACCAGAATCTATCTCCGAGCAGGTCTTTTTTCAAAAATTACGGTTAAAGAAATTCCAAGTGAATTGCTTGGTCCTCCTTATCTTACGGCTGCACTTGGCTCAGTAGAATAGCTCACACGCTTCCGCTGCTGCTTTTGGTTTATCTCAAAGCCTTGTGTTTTGTTGTGGCTCAGCTAATCCACCTCCTGAAATAATTTGGCTGCACAATGGGAAAGAAATCCAGGAAACAGAGGATTTTCATTTTGAGAAGAAGGGCAATGAATATAGCCTGTATATCCAAGAGGTATTCCCTGAGGACACGGGAAAGTATACCTGCGAGGCCTGGAACGACCTAGGAGAAATTCAGACTGAAGCAACACTGACGGTGCAAGGTAAAAAAAAGATAAATAAAAACTTTCTGCTTTAGAGCATATTTTCAGTTACACATGAATGCACTCTGTTCAGCTCAGTGATCTTTTTTTTTCAAAGAGAAAGTATAGATAATTTAGTCCAGTCTTACGATCCTGGAGGATGTTTGTCCTGCTGCAAAAAGAAGCTCATTCTTCTGTCAATCAAGGATCTGTTCTGATCTCTATGGCAAGATCAGAATAATTTAAGTATTAGATCATGATACAGATAGTCCCCAAGTTATGAACAAGATAAGTTCTGGGGGTTTGTTCTTAAGTTGAATTTGTATGCAAGCCAGAACAGATATATTTTAAATGCAACTCCAGACACGCATACACATACACATATAAGCTGTGGATAGCATAGGGACAGTTAACAGCCCCATAGTTTTTGTTTTGCTGTCTGTGTGCCTGTTCAGAAGATTTCACTTCACATTCTGACCCTGTGATAATTGAATTTTGAAAAATGTGGCTTGTTGTGGAGACAAGGATTGGTGACAAAGTTTCAGTGGAGACACCTTTTCCCCATGATAACTCTTCCAGGAGTGAATTTCCCACTCAAGGGGTAGATTTCTCTCACTTCCTGTTGTCTCAGCCCTGTTCTTAACTATTAGTTGTTTGTAAGTCAGATGTTTATAACTTGGGAAGTGCCTGTATATTCATATACTGTATATTGTGTGTGCCGACACAGATGCTGAAACTCTGAGAATAGGATTGTTTGATATGAGATGAGGAAATTCATCTAATAAGCAGCTTTAAAATATAGTGCTTTGTAATAAAAACGGTACTTCAAGATCAAGTTGCTATCCACATGTATTATATTGTTCCTTTTGTCATTGAAAGATTAAATAACAAGTGTGCAGTAGTGTCTCAGAAGAATATAGACTTCATTAGATGTTGCTGTAGCAGTTAAAGTATAATCATAATGCTAAAATATCTTGTGTGTAAGGGCTCGCTGTTACAAGTATGTGAAGTGAGAAATGGATTAAAGTTTAAGGACCATTGCCATAATAGTGAATCTGGCCCCAGCACATCATTTCATATGGCCCCCAAGGTTTTCAATGCCAGGGCAACATAGTTACATTTATACAGTCTTACAATAACAACCAGCCTTTCGAAGGCTGATGTGGAACTTTGACAGTTGAACTGATATTGTCAACCACAATGCAAAACTTTTGTCAGCCAAGGAAATACAAAAATTCACTCTGAACACAAAAATAATCAGGAGGCTGGGAAAAAGGGGGGGCTTTTACCAGCCTGGTTTGCAAAAGCTTTGCTGACATCCCTAGAGCTTTAAGCATCTTTTACAGTGTTTACTGGTATAACTTATCTTTCTCATGACAGGAAATGTGGGGGCTCATTTTCCAACTTCTAAAATAAGCGTGGGAAGAGAAATCACACTCTATTCCTCATTTTTCCTTGCCCCCCCCCCCCCAATAATAGATCTATGTTGCTGGAAGGATTTTGAGTGTTATAGTCTGGAAAAAAGTAAATTTTCCAGTTTGTAGATATATTGAGTATCAAAACTCTATGCTTCATTGTTATTGTTTTAAAGTATCACCATAATGACAAACATGTTTGAGTTCATTGTGGCTGCCAGGAATTCGTCAGGACATGTTTTGCAGATAAAATTTCTAAAAATTACTTGTTGAAGCAGCACTTTCAGGGAGAGCCATAACACAAATAAGCAGAAGGAACTAGTCCAAAGGGGAAGTATGTCTCAGCCTCCCACCAATGAGTTATAACTTTATGGACAGAGGTTGCAAACAGACAGATCCACCCCACTGCAGTATCAGAGAGAAAAGGAATCACAAGGAGTAGCCATTAAAGTAATTGCATCAAAGTTGCTTCTTGAATATATTGTAACTCAAAGTAGAGATGAACAAATAAGATATTTTTTTAAAAAAAATCAAATGATGCTCCTTTGGTCAAGTTAATCAGATATTCCTTTCACTTTTGTGACCATTCATCATATGTATATGTCAGTTAATTTGGCTATGGGTTACTGTGAATTTTCCCGGCAGTATGCCCATGTTCTAGAAGCATTCTCTCCTGATGTTTTGCCCACATCTATGGCAGGCATCCTTAGATATCGTGAGGTCTGTTGAAACCTAGGCAAGTGAGCTTTATATGTCTGTGGAATGTCCAGAGTGGGAAAAAGAACTCTTGTCTGCTTGAGGCAAGTGGTGCAATTGGCCACCTCGATTAGCACTGAAAAGCCTTGCAGCTTCAAAGCCTGGCTAGGGGGTACTTTGTTGGGAGGTGTTAGCTGGCCCTGATTGTTTCATGTCAGGAATTCTCCTGTTTTTGAGTGTTTCTCTTTCTTTACTGTCCTGATTTTAGAGTTTTTAAAACACTACTAGCTAGATTTTGTTCATTTCCACGGTTTCCTCCTTTCTGTTGAAATTGTCCACATGGTTGTGGATTTCGATGTTGCCTTTGGTGGTCCCTATGTAGACTTGTCCACAGCTGCATGTCATACAGTAGACTCCTGCAGAGGTGAGAGGATCCCCCTTGTCCTTTGCTGAACATAGCATTTGTTGGATTTTCTTAGTGGATCTGTAGATAGTTTGTAGGTTGTGTTTCTTCATCAGCTTCCCTATGTAGTCAGTGGTCCCTTGATGTATTGTAAGAACATTTTCCCTCTGGATGGATCTTTGTCTTTACTCTTGTGCCTTGCAGCTCTTCTGATGTCTGTGGTGGAGTATTTGGCTATATTGATTGATTTATATATTTCTCCTTTGCTTTATATCAAAAGGAACTTAGGGCTGCTAGCAAATAACACAAGGTATGGAAAGTTACTTTCAAGGACTTGCTTTTTGGATCTGGGATTTTAGGCCAGGCCAGATGCACTCACCCTGTTTCCCTTTGCTGTTTGCATTAATATGAGCAATTGTTAGTAACAATTGCTACCTGAGTTTCCCAAGCAGAATTGAAAGCTTTCCTCTGCAGTGATAGTGTGCACATTCCTTTTCATCGTCCTACTCACTCATGCTGCACCAGCCAGGCAGTGTATTTTCTCTGTAGGTCAGAAAAGCTCTATGCTAAACATTTTCTCCATGAGAAAAAGGGCCACAATTTGACACAAATGTGAAGATGGCAACCTCAGGATTAATAATTTTATTGTAGCACCTGTGAGACCAATTGAGAGAAAGAAGTTTGTCTCAGAGGTACTACATGATCCATTTGTATATTGATCCAGATAACAGGGCTGTTTCTTTAAAAACTACCTATTCGGTTACATTTTCTCTCTTTATGTTGCAGAACCTCAGGATGGCATTCAACCATGGTTCATTAGCAAGCCAAGGTCAGTAACAGCACCACCTGGGCAGAACGTCCTTATTTCTTGTGCCATTGCTGGAGACCCCTTCCCTACGGTTCACTGGTTCAAAGATGGGCAGGAAGTGACTGCAGGAGGAAGCTATGAATTTCTACAGAATGAAGACATTTTCACATTGATTATAAGGAATGTGCAAATCTGTCATGCTGGCCAGTATGAAATACAGCTCAGGTAAGTCAAGTGCAGAAGCACAGTCTGTTTTGAAGAGAAGCTGCTGAATTCCATCCTTTCTGGTCATTTTTCAGATGATATGTAATCTTCTGAGGGTGCAGTGTTATTCATAATGGGAAATACATTGGGAGATAAGGGGATTTTATAGATAATGTCTGGCCTTGTGTGGAAGACCAGCAATGCATACCAGGTGCTGTAGACTATGAAATTCATGGAGTTGCCATAAGTCAACAGGTATCTTTTGAAGGCATTCAGACATATAGTTTTCTCACTCTAGCTACAGAAAACATTTAGGATGCCGTTTTTTTCTTTAGAAAACTGGAATGGAACAAGATCAACAGGTTTCCCTACACACACATTTTTTTTTGACTCGCACACTGTCTTTGGGGTGATTTGATTGTTTCCTTGTTATTTTAAAAAGAGTATTTTGAAAGAAGACTTTGTAATTTGAGTCTTTATTTTAAGGGTGTATAGATGGCTTAAACTTTCATTTGTCACGCTGTAATTCTCCAGAGTACAGAAAGGGGACTTGTTTATTCGTTCAGTTGACTCTTTGTGACCTCATGGGCTAGACCATGCCAGAGCTTCCTGTTGACCATGGCCACCCCCAGCTCTTTCAAGGTCAAGCCAGTCACTTCAAGGATAACATCCATCCAACTTGCCCTTGGTCAGGCCCTCTTTTTTTTCCTTCCATTTCCCCCGACATCATGATCTTCTCCAAGCTATCCTGTCTTCTCATTGTGTGCCCAAAGTCTTTCATCTTTGCCTCTACTATCCTCCCCTCCAGTGAGCAGTTGAGCTTTATATCCTGGAGTATGGACTGGTTGGATCTTCTTGTGGTCCAAGGTACTCTCAAAATTTTCCTCCCGCACCACAGTTCAAAAGCGTCTATCTTCCTTTGCTCAGCTTTCCCTATGGTCCAGCTTCCGCATCCATAGATTACTACGGGGAATACCATTGCTTTAACTATGCGGATCTTCATTACCAGTGTGATGTCTCTACTCTTGACTATTTTATCGAGATTGGTCATTGCTCTCCTCCCAAGAAGTAAACGTCTTCTGATTTCCTGGCTGCAGTCTGCGTCTGCAGTAATCTTTGCGCCTAGAAATACAAAGTCTATCACGGCCTCCATGTTTTCTCCCTTTATTTACTAGTTATCTATCAGTCTGGTAAGGTAAATTACTGATTTACAAATATTTTGGAACATATTTTGAATTAGAGCTTGAAGTTCAACACACAAACACAAACACACATTCCTTCTGGGCATTCTGTTTTAAGTGAGGGAAGGTTTCAGGGTTACAAGAAGCCACAGCCAGTCTATTTTCTGGCATTGGTTCAACGGGTAAAGTTCACTCCATAACATCAGCCATTCCTTTGCATGATTTGAAGATTCCAAATACTTACTTAATATCCTTATCATGATTTCAAATGAAGTTCAGCCTAAATTCCTTATGTAAAGATTTAATAAAACCAAATATTGAAGCACTTCTATACACATAGAGTTTAAAATTTTAAAATACATTTAAAACATAATTAAGAAGATACAAGACCACCACAGTGAAATCACCCTTCTGCCACTGATTTAAAAACCAAAGGCCTGCTGGTGAAAAGAGAGCACAGAGGAGTCAATCTAAGACAGTGGTTCTCAACCTGTGGTCCCCCAGGTGTTTTGGCCTACAACTCCCAGAAATCCCAGCCAGTTTACCAGCTGTTAGGATTTCTGGGAGTTGAAGGCCAAAACATCTGGGGACCCAGAGGTTGAGAACCACTGCTCTAAGAAGTTTCTCTCCTGTGTTCTCACCAAATACAGGCAGTCCTTGGGTTATAAACATCAGACTTAAAAACTACTCATAGTTAAGAACAGGGGTGAGACAACAGGAAGTGAGAGGAATCCATCCCTAGGAAGGGAAGTTCATTCCTGGAAGAGGTAGCATGGGGAAAAGGTGTCTCCACTGAAGTTTTATCACTAATCTTTGTCTCATCAACAAGCCATTTTTTTCAAAATCCAATAACTGCAGGGACAGAAAGTGAGGTAAAATATTCTGAAGAGGGATATGGACAGCAACACAAACACCATAGGGTTCCTTATGCTTTCCTTTCCTACGCCATCCAGAACTATATATATCTGGAGTTACACTTTAAAAATGTACCTGTTCTTCCAAATTCAGCTTAAGAACAAACCTCCAGAACCTATCTTGTTCATAATTTGGGGACTGCCTGTATGTCTGTGATGATAGTAGGACCAAGGGAAAGCCCTCTCCAATTGATCTTAAAACACAAGCAGGATGGTGTAGGTAAGGTAGTTAAAGGTAAGGGTAAAGGTTTTCCCCTGACATTAAGTCTAGTCTTGTCCAACTCTGGGGGTTGGTGCTCATCCTCATTTCTAAACCGAAGAGCCAGCGTTGTCCATAGACACCTCCAAGGTCATGTGGCCGTCATGACTGCATGGAGCGCCGTTACCTTCCCACCGGAGCGGTACCTATTGATCTACGCACATTTGCATGTTTTCGAACTGCTAGACTGGCAGAAGTTGGGGCTAACGGCAGGAGCTCACCCTGCTCCCTGGATTCGAACCTGTGAGCTTTTGGTCAGCAAGTTCAGCAGCTCAGTGGTTTAACCCACCGTGCCACTGGGGGTTACAGTGGTTCAAATATACTCAAATCAGTTGGGGGTTACAGTGGTTCAAATATACTCAATCCCTTCCTTTCCTTTCCTTTCCCTTCCCTTCCCTTCCTTTCCCATTCCTTCCTTCCTTCTGTGAAGGTTGTTGATGTTAGGGGTTTCTCATTCCCAGAAACATTTTATAATCCCGCACAGTCTTCTTTGCTGCATATGTGTTTACTCTCCATTTTTTTCTAGAATTGCATTCTTTAAAGGACACTATTGAAAAAATTAAATGTTTTTTTTTACTTCTTTTTTTAAAGCATGTTCAGATTTTTTCCCTTCAGGCAATGCAGATCAAATATAAAACCATACTCCCTGGTATGGTCCTGGCAAACATAGTTCTTCAGCTTCCTACTGATAATATCATTACACGCTATTTACTGTGCTTAGGTGTATTGCCTTATTTGGTTAATATTTTTTTATTTTGTTTAACCTATGTGGCTTTTGGAGCCTGGGATACTTCTAAACTAAAAGCCTTATGGCACTACCTTTTCAGTTTTAGTTTGATCAGTGAAACGTTCAAAATAAAACTGTCTTGCATTACCTAACCCTGTTTATGGAAACTACCTAAAAATTAGCTCCATTGTACTCTGTATGCTTTATTGCCAGAGACATTTGTAGTGATGAAGCCTTAGGGTTCCTTGTTAAATTTTATTGCCATTAGTACTACATACTTCTGTTTTTTTTCTTTTGTATGCCTTACAGTCATTCCCAACCTATGACAACCATAAGATGAACCTGTCACAGGGTTTTCTTGGCAGGATTTGTTCAGAAGAGACTTGCCATTGCCTTTTTCTGAGGCAGAGAGAGTGTGACTTCTCCATGGTCACTCTATGGTCTTTATGACCGAGCGAGGATTGGAACCCTATTCACCAGAATCGTAGACCAGTGCTACGATTTGTGGCAGGAGCAACTTGAGAAGCTGCAAGTCGCTTCTGGTGTGAGAGAATTGGCCATCTGCAAGGATGTTGCCAAGGGGACGGCCAGATGTGTTACCATCTGATAGGAGTCTTTTCTTATGTCCTTACATGAGAAGCTGGAGCTGACAGATAGGAGCTCATCCCACTCCCTGGATTTGAACCATTGACCTTTCGGACAGCAGTCCTGCTGACAAAAGGGGTTTAACCCATTGTGCTATCAGGAGCTCCAAAATATATTTTCTAGATAGAGGTTTGGGGACTTCATTCTTATGTTTTAGCCTGAACTGGGTTGGTCCCTGGGGTAGACAGAATCACTTGCTAAATGGTCTGTCATCCTATAGGTCCACTGCTCGAGTGGGTCTATTGTAGTTTGTTCTCATGAGAAGATTCGGTCCTTAATGTGATAGGTTTTGGAAGGGGCTGGGTTTTTTTTCAGCTTCAGGTGTATGCAGATTTGCCCTGTGCACTACCAAGTAGATTTCTTGTGAGAGAATGTGACCCTTGACAGAAAAAAATTGTCACACATATTTTAGATATAATAGGCTAAATTAGCTTTTTCTCAACAATTTTCTGAACGAAGTTTGGAAATAGTTTTCAGGTTTACAATGTAAAGAAAGGCTTACAAAGAACCCTGGTTAAGAACCCCTGATATAAATTGTTATATGGATGTAGAGGCAATTGTTCAGTTCAAGGCTAAAGTAAGATAAGTATGAGGTTTCTTCTATCTGTCCATCAGTGTTTTGAGGAATCTTTTAAGATGTAACCATTGTGAAAGCAAAATGGGCTTCACTTTAAAAGAATACAGTTCCACGTGGCCTTATTTCTGCATTCAGTGTCCAGAGACTATTTCCAGAGGGAGAAATCTTGTATATTAAAAACCTTCCAATCTAGTTGTAGTGTTGGGCTTCAACAGAAACCCTTTGAAAATCCCCCGTCTGGTAAAATATCTCTTCTGCCTTCAGCAGTTGGTGAGGGATCAAGGCATCTTTCTATGTCTTTCTTGACTTTCTCTAATAAAGAATTCCTCAGGATGTAGTAGCATTGTTTATACAATTGCCTGAAGACATGAAATCTGATTTGCTTTTTTGTTTTTTGGCATCCTTTGGGGGAGAGGATCTATTTGAAGATGTATCTGCTGTGAAGCATAACATGGCAATGGGGGTGGACGGGTGGGAAGAGGGGGAAAGTATTTTAATGACTTCTTTAATGGGAGTCATTTCCAACAAGCATCTCTGGCATTCCTCTGCAAAAGGAAGAATAAGTGCTCAGCACCATATATGGTGACACTTCTTTATTTTATTTTATTTTTTTAATATAAACATGCAGAGTCTGAAACAATCCATGTGGATTGATTGCTCTGTTTGGAGAGGAAGGGAAAGAGAGGGCAGGCAAGGGAAAACGGGGAGGGACCACTGCCTTCAATGTCTCCATTCTAAGGAAATTAAACAAATGGCTTCGTATAAACAAACACCGGAGAAAGGTTCGGAGAAATTTTAACCATTTGCAAAAGACTTTTTTTTCCTTGTTTGATATTTATTTTCCTTTAGTTGTTTATTTGGTGGGGGGGGGGTCCTTTTCCGCTCCCAGCTACCCCACAGCTTGGTCTTGAAGCAGGCTAGCAATACCTCTACAGCGTGCTTTTCTCTAATTATATGAACTACACATGGACAGGGAGAAACGTTTGGGAGGAGGGGATCATTGTTTCCTTCTAGCCAATGATAATGAACATAGCTGTATCAACTGTGATACGGGGCTGGGTAAGGGAACATTTAAGCATGGTTGAGCAGGCTGATTTTTTCATATGCTTTTCATTTTCTCTGAGAGGAAAAGCAGCTTTTCTGACTGATTCTGAATTCATTTTTTTTCCTTTTTTTTAAAGGAACCATGTTGGAGAATGCAGCTGTCAGGTGTCTTTAAAACTGAGAGAAAGTGTAGTTTCCAAAGGAGAGATACACAGCAAGTGAGTACAGTTCCCAGGGACTTACATGGGTGGGTTCTATTTTTTGCTCTCCTAATTCTCTTCTCTTCTAGACTTGGGTTGGCTGCTGTTCAGCCTAATCCCTGAATGTGACCCAACACATTGTTTTCATCATACTGCTGAAGCAAACTGTACCTTGTCACTGTGGAATACTTTTTTATTTTTATTTTTTAAGAATGGTGCCCTTATATGGTTCCTGAAGTCATCAGTGATGCAATAAACTAATGGAGCATGTTCCTCTAATCAGCCTTCTCTGTAAACATATTTTGTCCTGGCTCTGAGGTGGTTCCCGGATATTTTAAACCAACTCTTAGCTTGCTCTCTCTTTCTCTGCTCCCTCCCCTTCCCCCTCCCCAACACCCAACCCTTCTCTGCTTGCAGTGGGAGGCAGACAGAGCGAAGAGATGCTAATAATCACAATGCACTGACATTTGGAAGCATTGGTGGCTCCAGAAGGAATACCATTGAAACCCAGCAAGTTGAGGAAGAGCAGGAGGACGTCCGTGGGGTGCTTAAAAGGAAAGTAGAAACTCGAGAGAGTACAGAGGAGAAGCTGAGGCAACAGGAGGCTGAGCAGATTGACTTCCGTGACATTTTGGCAAAGAAAGTCAGCACCAAAAGTTTTTCTGAGGAGGAGCTGAAAGAAATCCCAGCTGAACAAATGGACTTCCGTGCCAACCTGCAGCGGCAGGTCAAGCCCAAGACCTTGTCTGAAGAGGAAAGGAAGGTCCATACTCCTCAACAGGTGGACTTCCGGGCTGTGTTGGCTAAGAAGGGCACACCTAAGCCTTCCTTGCCAGAGAAGGCGCCAGCTCCTAAGCCAGCTGCTCCGGATTTTAGATCTGTACTTGGGGCAAAGAAAAAAGCGCCTACTGAGAATGGTGGCCTAGATGCCCAAGCTCAGAATGCCAACGCCAGCGTGGAAGCACAGAAACCCGGCCCTATCTCCAAAGCATCAGGTGCCGGCACCAACTCTAAGAATCCACCAGCATCCAAACCACTGGACAATAAAAATGCCACCTCTAAAGTACCAGGCACGAAGATAGTTTCGGAAGCCAAAGATGCCGTTTCCAAATCTAAAGCTCAGAATGCCATTATTAACTCTGAAGCACAAGGTGCAAGCACCAACTCTGAAATACCGCATCCCAAACAGGGAGAGAAAGAGGAGAATGACATCAGCTGCAAAAGTGGTTGCCTACCAATAGCAGATGGACAGTTAAATGAAGAGAAAGTAAAGGATACCAGAACAGAGCCTAAGGGGTCAGCACCATCCTTTACTGAGAAGCTGCAAGATACCCGTGTGGCAGAAGGTGAAAAATTAGTCTTGCAGTGTCAGGTTTCGTCAGATCCACCTGCTACAATCACCTGGACTTTGGATGGAAAGGTCATCAAATCATCAAAGTTCATTGTTCTCGCCCAAGAAGGTAATGAGCAATTGGCAAGCCAGCCACATGGCATGCTGCTGTTGTAGCTTATTGATTAAGTCTATTTCTTTTTAAACTTGCTATCGATATCATTATACTTCATTCTTCCTGTAAAATTGATCTCTACGTGCCAGTTGTTACCCTATAGGAAACAAAGAACAGTCTTACTAACCATGTTTTTTAGAGGTACATTTCTAACAACTTGTAAATGGTTTTTTTCCCCATACAGCTTCTTGTTTAAGTTTCTGATCTGGATTAAGATTTCTGGGACTTAATGGGGAACTAGTCTGTAGGGCAGTGGCAGCATATCACATTAGGTATCTGGAATAACAGTCAAATTAATTCATAACTTAGGTTCATGCTAAGGCTCGTGCCTGGGAACTCTGTGAGAAAGAAAATGGATTTGAGTTGATTTATATGGTTCTATAGTTTTGGCCGGGAATATGATCCTTGTGATAATAGTTAAGGGACCTGATTCTCTCAATATCTACTGTAGTTGCTATTAATGAAAATATTGATGCACAAACTAGTTCTTGAAACGATAGATAGATAGATGATAGATAGATAGATAGATAGATAGATAGATAGATAGATAGATAGATAGATAGATAGATCTAGGAAATTATTTTACATCAAATAATAGCCTGTTTTCATAACATATACAGAATCAAAGCTATGTCATCTAGCTGTCATCTATCATCTATAGAGTCATCTGCTATATGTGTCGAGCTATATTTACTGGGGGTATTAAATCAGTGTTAGAGAACAGCACAGAATAGATTTAATACATTGAAATGGTTCAAGTTCTTAGAAATATGAAACATAGGAAAGGAGAAGACAGTCTGGTGCCCTCACGTATTTTGTATTGCAGCTCCCACTTCTCTTGGGTCCAGTAGTCAGATATTGGAGAAGTGACACGGAAAAACTAGGCTGCAAGGAGGCAACACCTACTTTACTCCCTCCTGCTCCTTTTCTGTATCCAGAGGGATAATGAACAAGCATGTATGTGGTAACATTTAGCCATAAGAGGAGAAGGAGATCTAGTGGTTTCTTAGGCCCCCTTCCACACAACTGAATAAAATCCCACATTTTCTGCTTTGAACTAGTGTGGGCTCAGATGACCCAGTTCAATGCAGATATTGTGGGATTTTCTGCCTTGATACTCTGGGTTATATGGCTGTGTGGAAGGGACCTTAGAGATGGAGCTTGTTTGGTCGGGGGTGGGGGGGGGATCCAATCAAAGATTTTTGTGGTCACTGGTCACCTCTCCCAGATGGTGGCGCACAGCTTCTCAGTCAAAGAAAGCAGACTTGGACCTGGGTCTTTTCACTCCACGATTATAGCACTCTTATCTATTTTAGATGCTATGGCAACTACCTATGAACTCCTGGGGTTTGATCAGAGGTACTTGAGGACCATTTGACTGAGGGTTCCTAATGCCCTTCTCTAAACTACAAATCTCAGGATTCTTTGGGTTGCAGCCATACAACTGAAGTGGAATCATAACACAATAACTGTGTTGTGTGGAAAAGCCTGTGAAAATAAATTGGTAGAAGTATATCTTTGCTTTGCTTCTCAATAAGTTCCACATGTGTTTTATTGAAACAAAGGCCTTGCCATATTTTGAGAGAGTGTGATGACTATTGTCAGAATATTGTTGAAGGCTTACATGGCTGGAATCACTGGGTTGTAGGTTTTTTCGGGCTATATGACCATGTTCTAGAGGCATATTGTCAGAATGCTGATGTGCATCATTGGACTTGATTGACCTGATTTCAGTGCTCTGTCAGCAAAAATGTGCTGGTGGTTATGATTGTTCAGGTGTAGTTATAATATTCTCTTTATTTTAATTCTATTTAATCACAACATTTTGTCATTGATTTTTATTTGAAACAACAAGAGAAAGGTATCTTCTTTTTAAGCCTAGCTTTTCCTTAAGAGGTAAACCTGTGCCTGGGCTACACTACTTGATACTGTAAATGAGTTCTCACATTGTAGCATACTCCTCTCTGGACAAAATCTTCATACTAAGCTAGGTCTCCAGGAGGATAGTTACATAACTTTTCCTCTACTACTATGTAGTTTTCTACATAGAAATCAGGGTCTTATTTCGGCATGGAAGATCATTTCATCACATGACACACTATTGACAATCAAAAGATGGTACAGTTTTGACCCTTGCTTTCCATCTCATTGAGAACAAACCCTTAAACAGTCTCTGCATCATTTATTTGTGATACCACATAGCTTGCTGGCATGCCAATTTACTTATGAACTTTTCCCATTATAGTGAACCCTGCTGCATGCACAATGGAGGACCTTCTCAAAGTGACACCAGAGGCACTCCAAGTGGCCAGCTTCTGGTCAAATGGCATTTAGTACAATGCCAAGTTTTTAACTTTGTTTGTGTTTTCAAAAACATTATAACTGTATCCTCAATTCAAATCTGACACACCAAATATTTAAATATTGTGTATGCCACCTAGCTGTGGTTTGAGATAACAATTAAGCATAGTCTCAGTTCACACCCAGAGAATGACATGGAAATAATTCTTATAAATAGCTGTCTACCTTATATTATTGCAGCCTGAATTTTCCAATGTCCAGTTCACAGAAGAGGTAACTGTTGCAAACAGTCTGTTAAGTGATTTATCTAACTTGCAGCACAAGCTTCCATTTCAATTGATCTTAAAACTAAATTCTTTTTAAAATATATAATTTACTTTAAGCTGAATGGTTCATGTCTTTGCTAAATTAGCTCTTCTTAGCTAGGCACTGCTTTTTGCACAGAATATATGCCTGATAGTATAATTGTACAGGTATTGTAGCCATAAAATTCTGTTATCAGCCCCAAAACTTCATTGATAATACTGTTTTTATCACAGTGAAATATGTTATGGATAATCTAGTTGCTGAAAGTTGTAATCTGGCCACTGAAACCTTTAGCTAAATAATGTTTGAGTTACAACAGTTTTAAGTATTTACATAAAATTTCAGAAGTCACTTGCTGTGGGATTCGTCTCTTGCTTTGTGTGACTCCACAGCTGAAAAAAAAAAACCCTGTTCAAGCCTTCAATAACATACAACAAAAGAGGTCTGTATAGCAGAAGGATGTTCTACTAAAGTAATAGGTGCCAACCTTATTCCATTAATGAAAATGTTTTTAGGAGACCCTTACCTTCAATGAATGCATATACGTTTATGGGAGGGGTTAAAATCACATACCCACCCCTCTGATACAACTGCCAATGCTGTTGTGTTATCAGTCCACATACAAAAGTTGTGAACCCATTGTCCAACTCATTTTAAAGCAGAACTGTAGCTTTAGAAATGTATTTCTACTTTAAATAAGGCACACCTGGTTGCAACTTTTTTTGTTTGCTTTTTTTGCACCACTGAAATTCAGTAGCTGTTTTGTGGTATAATTAACTTTACTCACTACCATGCCACCAAAACTCAATTCTGTAACATAAAGCCATCTCTGGTACATTTGAAAGATCCAATGTGTTACACCCATTCCTGGGAAATAGCCAACCTCTAGTTGATGTATAAAACCTGCAGTTATCATCTGTATACTATGTACCTTAGTGAACCTGAAATACTATGTCCAGTTCTGAGCACCACAATTGAAGGGAGATGTTGACAAGCTGGAATGTGTCCAGAAGAGGGCGGCTAAAAGCTCAAGGACCTGGAGAAACAAGCCCTATGAGGAGCGGCTTAAAGAACTGGGCATGTTGAGCCTGCAGAAGAGAAGGCTGAGAGGAGACATGATGACGGCCATATATAAATATGTGAGGAGAAGTCCTAGGGAGGAGGGAGCAAGCTTGTTTTCTGCTGTCCTGGAGACTGGGACATGGAACAATGGCTTCAAATGACAGGAAAGGAGATTCCACCTGAACATGACGAAGAACTTCCTAACGGTGAGAACTGTTCATCAGTGGAACTCTTTGTGGTGGAGTATCCTTTTTTGGAGGCCTTCAAACAGAGGCTGGGTGGCCTTTTGTCGAGGGTGCTTTGAATACAATTTTCCTGCGTCTTGGCAGGGGGTTGGACTAGATGACCCACAAGGTCTCTTCCAACTCTGTGATTCTATGAACACCTGAAAGCCGTCTGTGCAAAGAGAAAGGGGGGATATATATTCAATAATAAATATATAGTACTGCTAGACGGTCTTCCTAAAGCTCATTTGGAGTCCCCAACAGTTATCTTTTACCATATAATTTTTATTACAAAATATATGTGGAATGGGGAAGGGTACAAGAGTGATATAGAACAGGGTCATTTTAACAGTGGGTTGTTGTAGGTTTATTCGGGCTATATGGGCATGTTCTAGAGGCATTCTCTAGAACATGGCCATATAGCCCGAAAAAACCTACAACAACCTAGTGATTTCAGCCATGAAAGCCTTCGACAAGTCATTTTAACATCTTGCATCTTCATCATCTTCAATTGTTATACAAAAAAGGTTTCTATGATGTTAAAAAGGGGGGGGGAAACCTTCGTTTTCTAATCTAAAACAGAAGAAACGATACGCGAGCGCATAGTACCTATTTTGTCTCTGCTATCTTCTTCATAGTAATAAAAATATATTCTTTTTGTCATAAAACTTATCTCTGGTAGATTAGCTTTCCAGAATCCTTGGATATCATTGGGGATTTTGTTATTCTTGACAACAATTCTCTATTTTTTTTCTTGTTATTCCTACATCTCTGCACTACTTATTTTCCCTTAATTCTATAAAAAAAACCCAATATTTTCATTTTCTTTTCTTCTGACTGTATAAACTTCATTAGTTTGTCCAACTCTTCCATGTTCAAACTTTTTGTAATCCATAAATCTTGTGTGGGAATTTATTCTTGTCTCCAAGTGAAAGTATTAAAAATCCTTGCTGCAGTCACTATGTATAAAAAGAGCATCAGGATTTTTTTTGGTAGTGTTGAATTTCTGTTAGTCCCAACAGAAAGGCTTCTGGCTCTAGTGTACTTTAATTTTTAAGATGT